TCACATTGCTGGGACACATTTCCGCCTTAACTATCACTAAAAACTTGAACATACGTTGGCAAAGTCTGTTGTGCCCTGCCCTTAGTCTGGATGTGATATAACACCATCTCTGGAATTATGGGGGGGGGGGGGGGAAACCAGACTTTTCAAAAATGTCCTTGGCTCCCACGTCAAACCAGCTGCAGTCCTGGGAAGTAAAGGCGGTTCGCGGGATACTGACCACATCACCCACCAATTACCGATGGGTCTATAAAATATAGGTCCAGCCCTATATGCCGAACACGCCTAAAGGCGTGTAAAGGGGTCGTTTTCTTTGCCGGAAAGATGATGAAGCAATTCACTGGGAGAAAATTCAGTGTGAGTATCCAGCGATCTTTCTCGGGTACTATTTTTTATGAATTTCCAGAAACCATGAGTTGTTAACCCTTTGGCTCAGTACTATGGATATCACAAACCTTTGGCTTGATTCCATGATAGGTACCGTAAATCTGGGAGAAATGTGGCTTCTCTGCCTACCCACGGGCGTGAACCCGGACCACAAGGAGTTCGTCACCCGGTCACTACGAAAGTCAGGTTTAACCAACTACGCTAGCGAGCCTGGCAGTCTGTTGTTGGTATAGTTAAGAGACAGCGGTGTTGTGCATTTTTCATTTGTTCTCTTAATTGCAAATGGCAGCTAGGGTGAGGTGATTTTATATTTTGCCGTCTCTCGCAAACTGAAATAGTTCGACCATAGTAAACACGGCATAGCTTTTGAAAAGGAGAAACAGAAATCATAGCTTCTAGAACAGACGGACATTAAGCAACATGGTGTATAAATATGCATGAGACGTTGGGAAATTGTAAATCTTATTAACAGTTAGTAATGACAGCGATATTGTGCAAGGAAGCTGTTTCATAATCGTGTTCTTTGATTTTTGGAAAACAATTTTTTGTACCCGAGGGGTATGGTTTTGTTATGGGTCTCATAAAGTAAACCGGCGTGTTGTTTGTTTGGGTTGTGTAAATAAACGGCGTGGACTGTGTAGTTATATTGGCAGTTGGTTTAGTCAGTGCGGGCGACCTCGAACTGGTTTTAGGACTTCGCTGAAAACAATTTTTTAAAGTAGTACTTGCATTTGTAATAATAGCAGGAACAGCAGCAGTTATATTATTTCAGCAGTGGTACGTGTAGCAGTTATGTTGGTAATGGTGAGAGGATCGACTTCATTGCACCGGAGATTTTATCCGATATGGCTCAGTCTCTCCGCTAAACAGCTAGCTGTCTGCCGAGAACGTCGCACAGAGCACTAACTGCTTACCTCTAGCGTCGATCCCCAGGAATCTCCGTACTAATTGTACTGGTGAACTAAACTGCGCCAACGAGAAACGAACCTTCAGAGCGCAAGGCAAACGGCTTGATCACTGCGCCATATGTGCTAGGCACTGCCACTGTTTTGAGCCGAGGCATACATTTTTGCTTCTGCCAGACTGTGGCCGTTGCTTTTTTGCTCCATTTGTAGACTGGAAGTATATAGTTTCGTTGCCCAGCTTCTGAGTTGAGTGCATGGCATGACGCTGTGAGCTGCCGATTTCATTTGGAATGTTTTTCGACTGACCAACATGGTGGTGTGATTTGAAGATTCAGAAAATGGCGCGATGCTGGTTGTCGCAATAATGGTAGGGCCATTATTTGATTAAAATTGGTCGTGTGTGCAACTGCAGATCTTTTAATGACTTCTGCTACCATCAATGATGAACTGCATTTCTAAAGTCGGGCTGTTTGTGTTAGCACTTCGGATGGCTACCATATGCTTTTAATGCGAGTGTATGCTAGATTTGCTGAGACAGCAGTTTGTCAGTCTTTCCACAAGGGACTGTGATAAACATTCTGTGTGTTTTTCATTGGCACAGGAGCGGAGCAAAGATAGGGTGACCCGTTTGCTATGAAGCTGAAATTAAAATTACCAGATTACCAGATTTGTGCGCAATATAAAATGACTTGGCACTGCTTGTCACCAAGATCCCTGAAAGGAACTCCTGTAGTGTTGATGCAATCAAAGAGGACAGACCCAAATACTATCCTGACCGGCCGGTGACAAAGTCGTCTACCAGTGAGCCAATGGGCGGTCACCGATAAGACACCCACCCTGTGACATATATAGTGCCTCATCGAACACACCTTTAACCTTTGTATAGTTGTTCATGATTGGTTAGAATTTATAGTTGATTTTCTACAGGATGAGCTAGACTGGTGTTGTCTGATCTGGGTTCTCTTGTGCCATGTGATTCTGATTTGAAAAGGGGGGGGGGGGGGAAGGAGCAGTATGGGGGTGGGGGGGATTCTTTTGTGTACCAGTCTTATGTCAGTCTTCCTAAATTGCCTCTTATGACATGCATGGTAGGTTGCAGTGGTTTATTCTTTGCTCATATGGGGCTTGGGAACAGGTTGACAAAAGGCTTTGTAGAAATTTCGAGCAAAAAGAAGTAAGTTCCATCTGAGGTGGCCAAATTCCCTCAGTATCTTTATCTTCAGGATGTCCCATAAGTTTCCATATTTAGGAAAAATGCCCGTTGTTTTGAAAACACACCTCAATGCTTATCCTCCACTACTGAAAAACACATATAAGCACTAATGGAGTTCTGCTTGTAATGACATTGGTGATAGTTGTTTTTCCCTATGTGTGGAAACTAATGGCACATCCTGTGCAGTCCTTTAGTGCCATGTTTCATGGGATCACCTTGTTCAGTTTCATCAAGTCTTTCCATTTCTGAGGATAAGTTACATATGACTTGTTTTCATGCCTGAGGCCCATCCAGCTTGTGAAACTTTGTTACATTCAGTGTTGGTTTATATGTTGAGGGGGACACTGAGAATCTAAGGACATGTCTAAAGCGTGGTGTGGATCACCCAGTACATAACTCAGACTCGGGATCCAGGTTTCTCTTGATCTGCCTTATCTTCCCTCCTTTGATTACCTATAGTACAGTTTTCTAAAGCCTTCTGTCATTCTTTCTAGGAGTTAGTTAGTCAACAGATTATCCTCTTGCACATCGAACCACTTAGTCCATAAGTGCTCGGATCCCCTCCTCAGTAAATCCTGCAGTGTGTAACGGCTAACGAAACGAGTTCTGTGTTGGTTTATTCTTCTTCTTTGGCTACCCGAGTAGTGTTCTTGTTTGGCGACACACCGTTTAACATGTTTTTCTTGCAGTCTGACCATGGTTGCATATTCACATTTCTCAGATGGTTCACGCAAACGTCTTAACTCTATTTTTTTTAACATAATGTTGGCATAACAGACAGCCCTGTCTGATTCTGACTGTTGCTTTAAAATGTATTTATCCTGTAGTATGTATGTTAGTTGCATATCCTTTATCCTTTACAGGATATTGCAGAACTGACCCCAGTATTTTTTAAAAACTGTTTGTGATTTTAGTAAGTAATTTTACGTTCATTAGTTTGCTATTGCTCTCTGAACAGTCTGCTCTTGATACCACTGTTGAAACCAATGCAAGACAGTCTACAGCTAAATGACCTCCAGATGGGATCGAACCTGGTACCTTGAAGTTACAAAGTGTGTTCATCATCATCAGTTCTCGTTATGCTTAGTGGCACATAAGGCTTCAGAGAGGACTTTCCATGCTTTCCTGTCCTGTGCAATCTTCAGTGCAGTTTTCCATGTCAAAGATGCCGCACTCAGGTCACTTTCCATCGTTCGTCTCCTTGTTGTTTTTGGGCGCCCCTGTTTTCTCTTTCCCTCTGGTGTCCATGTGAGAGTTGTTTTGGCAGGTATATCAGAAGTCATTCTCATAACGTGGCCAAGCCATTTCCATCTTCTCTTGGTAATCATACTGTCTAAAGTTTCTTGGTTTGTGGCTTGAAGTAGTTTAGTGTTTGAGATTGTATCTGGCCAGAAAATTTTGATAATTCTACGTAGACATGTGTGGTGGAAGGTGGACAGCTTGTGTGCATCCTTTCTGGTCATTCTCCAGCATTCCGCTCCATAAAGAAGAACTGGCAAAATGATGCTCTTGTGGAGTCGGAGTTTCGTTCCTCTGCAGTAATTGTTGGATTTCCAGATTTGCCTCATCCCTCCAAAAGCAGCTCTAGCTTTGTTCAGACATGACTGTATGTCTTCCTCTGTCCCTCCCAGTAGGGACACCACAACAAAGTGTGTTCGCAATGCCTAAAATACAGATGCTGTCGACGTTTTGTAATATATGCTGTCCTAAAGTATTGATCAGTGGTTCACAGTTAGCTAAATACTGCAGGCTTCTCTAATTTTACAAGGTTCATCATGGAGTCTATACTGCGTAATAGTGAAACTGAAGAATGAATTATGATATTTAAGTATTAGAATCATAAAATAGATGGCCTTTTCATCTTTTCTTCTTTGCAATCACCGGCTTTAAACTACAGCAGAAAGTCCTGGTGGTTCGTTCATGACTGGACTCTAGTCTTGTTCCATTACTGGGGATTGGCATGCACATCCATTTTACAGATCTGGATTATTTGTACGCAAACTATTGGTTCCTTGCCTCTCATGCAGATGCACTCCAAATTTAAAGGATGATTGCCTTATAAAGTTAAGGTATTTTTGTAAATCATTACTACTGATACCTCAAATTTGTTTTGCACCATGGGAGAAAAAAATAAGGTGGGGGGGTCCATTAGCCACCTAATGGTAAACATTTGTAGAGAATAGATGACATGATGTTTAGAAAACAACAGGAATAGACAGCTACACTACAAGCATAACTCTGGACTTAAATTAACTTAGTAAATAACAAAGTGCCTTGTCAATCAGCATATGACTGGCTCTTTTAACCTCGGGAAGCTGATGTATATCTTTACGAAGCACCTATGGAAATGTCTTGAGTGCTATTAGGATACCCCATCTCAAAACTGAAAGGATTAAACTGATAAGTATACCAGCTGGAAAATAAAATTGATTGTAAAGATCTTAATGTGTCTCCATTTTTATTTCTTCCTTAGAGTGCAGTCAGCTGACACCATCATGGACACCCTGTTGAGGCTGAGAAGGGCTGCATCCTCAGCTGCCAATGCTGTGATGACCTCGAGTTCCAGTGGGAATACAACTGTTGCCCCAGATGGAGGGTCTCCAGAGGAACCCAAAACTAGGATTGATGATCTCAAAGAGAAATTCATGGATGAGTTCAAGAAATGTAAATCAATTAAAATTTTTTGTTTTTTATTAGGAAATCATGCAAGCATATTAACCTTTTCAGGCCAGTGGTGCTTTGGATTTTTGGTGCTACACCCAAAATGTGTTTGTTTTTTCCTGCACTATGCAAAAGTATGCTGTACGGGCACCTTTATTGTTGTTGTAAACATCCCTCTCTTAGAGCTACTGTTCTAGATGATCTATTGGGTTAGTCTCCCCAAATAAGTAGGTCACTTTTCATTCACAAGTTTGTTGGGCTGGTTGACTTTCCTGAAGGTTACGGGTGTCCCTGCTCTGTTGTTTGGTTTCTGTGATGTCTTGCATTTACGTTTTCATTCTGAGAAAGAGAATGCCTGTGGCATAGGTTGCAGCACTCTCGAAGGGGGGTGTTGTTTTAGACCAATTTTTCCACTTTTGGAGTGTAAAAAGCACTGGTGTGCTGAAATATACAACACACAATATCAAAAGCATTGCTTAACACCCCCAGTAACAGGGTGCAAAGGTTACAGGGCTCAGAAACAACCAATCAGAAGTGAGCTAGTGTGCATATGGGTGAGGTCGAACTAACCATTTATGGTGCTGGTACCTTGTTTAGACAATCTGGTGAGCACTGGCACTTATTTAAAAAAAAAAAAAAAACAGCAGCCATTGCTAGACCCATATAATTATAGACAGTTTTATCAGTGCGTTAGTGAGTAATGTAGTCAGATTCATGTCAGCCACCTTAGGCCATCTTTATTCTCCAGCACATTTCTCAATACTCATTTTAGGCTAGGGTACCCTGAGCCAAGATGAATTATAAAAGGTTCATCTTTATGTGGATTCAAATCTGAGATTATTATAATGGCATGCGAGCATTTAACCACTGAGCTAAGGCAGCTAAGATTTATCTAATTAACTCATTAAGTACCAAGGAACACATCACACCTTTATGTGTATCTAATTTAGCAATCCTCTAGTAACAACAACAAAAGTCATTTAAATCACAGTCTGATGCAAAAGTAGTGGACTAGGTTTATAATCTTTTTGGATAAGTTTGCACATATAGAAAGTTCAGTGTGCATTCTCTTGTTCTGAATTCCCCCCCCCCCCCCCCCTCTCCCTCAAGCATTGACACTCAACCAGCCTTTATTCCTCCTTCCCTTCTTCTTTCTCTCCTCCTTCTCCTCTTCCTCCTAGATAATCTTTTATTCTTCTCCTCATTCTCCTCCTCCTTCTTCTTCTTCTTCTTCTCCTCCTCCTCCTCTTGCTGCTTCTTCTTCTCCTCCTTCCTCCTGCTTCTTCTTCTACTTCTTCTTCTGCTGCTGATACTGCTGCTGCTGATACTGCTGCTGCTGATACTGCTGCTCCTCCTCATCCTCCAAGTTACTCCTTAAAAAGCATGTAAAAAAAGGTAACTAATTAAAGATAAACACAACCACCATTACTTCTCCCCCATCTTCTTTCTCTGCTCCTCCTCCTTTTCCGCTTCCATCATCTCTTCTTCTTCTTCTTAGTCTTCTTTCTTCTTTTTCTTCTTTTTCTTCTTCTTCTTGATGAGTGATCAGAAAGGCAACACGTAAAGCAGGCCTGCCTGCCCAATTTGTGACCCTTTGAAAATAAAGTTTGTTCATTTGTTCGTTTCTTTTTTTTTCTTTTTCTTTATTTTCCTCTTCTAGTGCATCTCTAAAAAGCATATTATAGGAGGTGACTAATTAAGAATATATTGAAAGTAAATACATTCACCCAAAAGGCACAAATATCACTGCTCAACTGTAAACCACAGCACAATTTGACAACCACTCTTGTAAAAGGGACGTCAGATGAAAAGATAAAAAGGAGTAGAAGAAGAGGAGTTTGAGAATATCATAAACAACAGAAGAAAAATAGTTGATGTATTGATAGCTGTAAACATTATTAGATCATTCATCAAAATGCTAAGAAAGTGACAAATTAAATAATGTGATATTCTGAGTTAGAAAAAAAAATTAATTAAACAAAAAAAAAGAAAATTTAAAGAGAGAAAATAGTTGTTTTTTCCTTGAAAAATATCTGACAATAATGAGGTAGAAAGTGAGATAGATGCATATAGAAAGCTTAAACAATTAGGGAACAGATAATAACAGTGGCAATATTAACTTCATAAAAATGTAAGATGACTCAAAGGAGGAAAGAGTCATTACTGTCAGGGAAGAAGAAGAATAAGAAGACAGAGGAAAAGGGAAAAAGAAAGGCAGAGAAAATAGACATGATGATCAACACAGATTGAGCAATAATCAGATAAATACTCAATGACTAATCAATAATAGTCATTAAACAAACAAACAAAATGTGTGTTTTGCTGCCCTGTCATTTAGCCATGCCTGAAGCTAACCCACAACATGACTTGAGTGTGAAGCCTAGCCAAGCATATCTATGCTACACCTGAGGTCAGGATATGTGACATAACCTTCTCAATGGGATAGTGAGCAGAGGTGTTCCATCCAAGGATGGGACAGCACACATAAGAAAGCCCAGTGTGCAGTGACATTGTTTGTGATAACATGACTGTGATACCAGTTGTTACATAACATGATTCAAAAACCATTGATGGTTATGCTTACTTGTATGTAGTTAGGTAAGTTGTACCCCACCAGGTCATCACACAAACGATAAACACTCGGTGACACAAAGTGATACTATTTGGATGAGGATCACCAGTGGTGAGGTCCCGGAAACCCTGTTCAGCCATGAGGCCATATTTATGGCTGGGCTATATTAAGGGCCCTGGCACAAGCCTAGCTGGGGCGTCTTGAAAACTAGAGCCAGTCAACATTTTTTATTGTAATTTCCATTTTCAACACACCAAAACTGGTTAAGATCAGCTGCTTTCATTTCTGGTGCATTTTGGTTGCTGACTAGTGTAAGATAGCATAATTCACAAAACCAAAGTGATATATTTTATTCTATATATTGTTGCAGTGCCAATATGGGCAGTTATTCTGATCATTGCTGGGGGCATCCTGCTGCTGTCCTGCTGCTTGTTCTGTCTGTGCAGACGATGCTGCAGGAAGAGGAAGAAGAAGGAAGGCAAGAAGGGACTCAAAGGAGCTGTGGACCTGAAGAGTGTGCAACTCCTTGGCAACTCTTACAAGGAAAAGGTGAATGCCCTGCTGCTCTCATTTTATCAACTCTTCTTCTTATTTCTTCACATCACTTGTACCTTATTGTGTCATTGTGAAAAAAAAAAAACCGTTGGAGGGTGGCTATCTTTGTCCTATCCTCACTCATTCAGGACTGCAGGTTTCCCATCCTCACTCGTTCAGGACTGCAGGTTTCCTATCCTCACTCATTCAGGACTGCAGGTTTCCCCATCCTCACTCATTCAGGACTGCAGGTTTCCCATCCTCACTCATTCAGGACTGCCGGTTTCCCATCCTCATTCATTCAGGACTGCAGGTTTCCCATCCTCACTCATTCAGGACTGCAGGTTTCCCATCCTCACTCATTCAGGACTGCAGGTTTCCCATCCTCATTCATTCAGAACTGCAGGTTTCCCATCCTCATTCATTCAGGACTGCAGGTTTCCCATCCTCACTCATTCAGGACTGCAGGTTTCCCATCCTCACTCATTCAGGACTGCAGGTTTCCCATCCTCACTCATTCAGGACTGCAGGTTTCCCATCCTCATTCATTCAGGACTGCAGGTTTCCCATCCTCACTCATTCAGGACTGCAGGTTTCCCATCCTCACTCATTCAGGACTGCAGGTTTCCCATCCTCATTCATTCAGGACTGCAGGTTTCCCATCCTCATTCATTCAGGACTGCAGGTTTCCCATCCTCACTCGTTCAGGACTGCAGGTTACACCAGACTAATGTAGCAGTTTCAGGTGCTCTAATTTTAACTTTTTATCAAGTTGAATGGGGTATCTGGGATCTGCCTTGTTAGTCTGCCTTCCAGAGTGAGTTTTTAAATCTCAGTTGTGGTATGATAAACCTGTAGGTAGCAGTCCAAAGGAGACAAACTGGTCGATTGATCAAGCCCTTTTTGTGCTTCTTCCTCTTCAGCTTGACTTGGTTAAGGACCTGTGCTGTGGATGAAGGCCAAAAGAAAAAGACATTAGCTCATTCAGTACTAAGCAGTTAACCATATGAATATTGGTTTCTCGATCCATGACATACATTTCTAAACCTCTTCTCATCCTTTGCTTGCTACTTTAGCCACTTCTTTCTCAGTTGTTTCTTTAGCTCTTTCTGTCCCATAATTGTGCAGTTTTCACTGTTTACACTATAAATTCTAATCTGAACTTTACATACACTTTGGGGTACAAAAGTATGGAAGGAACAAGTCTCTAAGGCTGAAAATATAAGAATCAAGGAGGTTTAGTTGCATTTCTGTAAACTGAAACAGTAAAGAGGTATCCATGTTGTGAATAATGTATGTGTGTTGTTTATCCATCACAAGGGATCGAGACCACTTAGTGTCCAAAAGTAGTGATGATGATCAAGGATTGTGAGTACAAAATGGCTGAAGAGTCCAATTTGAACATGGACAGTTTTTGAGTGGTGTGGACAACAGATGGAAATGGCAGTTTTGAGGTGGAATTTTCCACATGATTCTTTCTAGTCTGCCACGTTTTCTTCACCAGTGCAGCCTCTGCTGCCTGACATTTTGGTACATTATGCTTGAGGACTGTATGGCATCCAGACTGGTTTTGTGTAACAGCAGGCCAGTTTCCTTTCTAAATGCCAAAACATTTCAGAATAGTTTTAAGAGTGTTGTTATAGTGTTTCTTCTGTGCACCTTTTCTCATCATACATTATAGTGTTTCTTCTGTGCACTTTTTCACATCAAATGTTATAGTGTTTCTTCTGTGCACCTTTTCTCATCAAATTTTATAGTCTTTCTTCTGTGCACCTTTTCTCATCATATTTTATAGTGTTTCTTTTGTGCACTTTTTTTCATGATACATTATAGTGTTTCTTCTGTGCACCTTTTCTCAACATACTTTATAGTGTTTTTTCTGTGCACCTTTTCTCATCATACTTTATAGTGTTTCTTTTGTGCACTTTTCTCATCATACGATTTAGTGTTTCTTCTGTGCACCTTTTCTCATCATATGTTATAGTGTTTCTTCTGTGCACCTTTTCTCATCATACATTATAGTGTTTCTTCGTGCACCTTTTCTCATCATATTTTATAGTGTTTCTTCTGTGCACCTTTTCTCATCATACATTATAGTGTTTCTTCTGTGCACCTTTTCTCATCATTCATTAAAGTGTTTTTTCTTTGCCCCTTTTCTCATCATGCATTATAGTGCTTCTTCTGTGCACATTTTCTCATCATATTTTATAGTGTTTCTTCTGTGCACCTTTTCTCATCATATTTTATAGTGTTTCTTCTGTGCCCCTTTTCTCATCATATTTTATAGTGTTTCTTCTTTGCCCCTTTTCTCATCATACATTATAGTGTTTCTTCTGTGCACCTTTTCTCATCATATTTTATAGTGTTTCTTCTGTGCACTTTTTCTCATCATACGTTATAATGTTTCTTCTGTGCACCTTTTCTCATCATATTTTATAGTGTTTCTTCTGTGCACTTTTTCTCATCATACGTTATAATGTTTCTTCTGTGCTTCTTTTCTTATCATAGTGTAATAGTGTAACTGTTACAGGTACAGCCTGACCTGGATGAGCTACCAGTCAATATGGAGGATAATGAGGATGCCGAGAGCACTAAGTCTGAGGTCAAACTTGGAAAGTTGCAGTTCTCCCTGGATTATGACTTTCAGAAAGGGGAGGTAGGTTCTTCAGATGTGGTTTCAGTGTGATCGTACATGTTCTCTCTCTCTCTCTCTCTCTCTCTCTCTCTCTCTCTCTCTCTCTCTCTCTCTCTCTCTCTCTCTCTCTCTCTCTCTCTCTCTCTCTCTCTCTCTCTCTCTCTCTCTCTCTCTGTGTGTGTGTGAGTGTGTGTGGTTTTTTTTTTAATGCATCAAGTTTTCTTGTTTAGTGAGTTAAAAATTTCATAACATTCATCAATATTAGCCATACTAAATATAGTTCTAAAATTGTTGTTTTCTTACTACTATTTGCTTGATATTGTTGTTACATAGGCTTTTATAGCGTTTCTACCTCTGTGTTTTTATAGAGCTAGTTTCCTATTTCTTTTGAATAGTTTCTGTTGTAGTTAATTATCTTTTTCTTTTTTTTAAAGAGAATAGGAACTTTTTATGATGTCTGGCCCAAACATAGCGTAATTAGGCTTTCATTCATGCTTTCTCACATGTGACATGGACTAGTCTATGTTATAGAGGTGTCACATTGTCTTGTATTCGTGAAGAGCTTTCTATATTGTGCGTAGCATGGGTGGCAGGCTACGCAGTGGGTTTTAAACGTTGTTGCGAGCGACATTGCTTATATTACGGAGTTCAGGTACGACATGAATTTATTTCAACTGAGAGCGCTGACAAGCGGCAAGGAGAGGAGCATTGATTTTCTATAGCAGGACGGGTTTTTAGAGTGCAGCGAAAAATGCTAACAATTCTGAAACCATGGGATGTACTCTGGACTCTCTAATGGGACCTAGGATGAGGCTGTGGGGTAGGGGGTTAGGGTTAAAGCCAGTTCTGTGTGTTCTAGGACTGTTAAAAAGTGTTTTTATCGTGTAGTATAGAACACGCAAAATCACCGCTGATAGCATCAGAGACAAGACGGCGTGACACGCCTGTAACACAGACTAGCCCGTGTCACAGGTGAGAAAGCATAAATGAAAGGTCAACCGATGTGTATTTGGCCCGGGAATCATAATAAGAACCAAAAAAATAGAACAGACAGGGAACCCATTCATTGAAAGGTTAATTCAGCGAGTGTGATTAGAGGTTCTGGAAGATTTTCAACACCATAAAGGAAACATAGGCAGACTTTAAATCAGGTTGCAGCTGGTACTATTAGGGTCAATCTTGTTGGTTACTGAGGAAGGAGACGAGTACATACTGGAATTTCCTGAGTGCAGTGATGTCAATTCTTGATTGATTCATTCATTCTTATAGTCCCTGGCATGTGGTGATGGTAGTTATGTCTATTGACAACCCTCTTTCTCATGTACTTTCAATCATTTCTGACTGTAACATGATGTCATAGTGTCTAGTATCTTCTCTCTCTGTCTCCCTCTCCTGCATATTCTCTCTAACTTTCTCACAGTCAAGATGTGGCAAAAGTGTGTAGGCTGTTTCCTTCTGACATGAGTAAACAGTTCTCTTCATGTGTTGATTGTTTTAAAGACATCTTCATTATTCTTTTTATCTGTCGATGTTGTTTTCATAATTCATTTACACAACCAAATCTCTGCCACTTCTACGTTACTTTTCACTAGTGGGCTAAGTGTCCATAATTCACTTCTGTATATCAGGATTGGAATTACATAGTTCTTAAGAACTTTTTTTCCCACACCGCAATTGACAAAGAAAGATTGCATAGAATATTCTTTATTTTATGAAATTCTGCCTTTGCTTGATCTATTCTACATTTAACTACTGTTAATCATGGAGCCAAGTTATTAACTGTTTGTGACATGTTCAGGTTCTTCATTCTCCTTCTTCTTTTTCTTCTTTTTATTTTTCTTCTTCTTCTTCTACACTTCCTGTAACACTGTTTCAGATGTTGAGGGAGTAAGTTTCTGGTTCTTGCTAAATTCTTTCTTGTTTTTGGTTTAACTTGTGTGTGTATGGAATATTCAGAAACATATTAGTCTTTCATGTGTCCTATGACAGAGAGGATGCATTGCTATAATTCCTTTTCACTGTTTATATAAAAATATTTTCACATACCAGATTGTCTCTGTAGTCCTCTCATGAACAATGATGTATGACTCATATTCACCAAGACAAAAATCTGGCAGCATTGTAAATAACAGTACCATGTAATCAGTAAAATTTAGTCCTTGGTGTTATTTATTAACCTAATTATCAACACACTGTAAAATAAAACTAAGATCATTAAATATCAGACAGACTATCTGCAGTGTAGTGCAGTCTTGTAGTCTATAATCACCTGAATGCAGTGCAGTATAATATTACCTATAAAAGCATCTGTACACAGTATAGGAAATTTACTAGAAAAAAGAGCCATGATATTGACCTCATCAACAATTGTAAGAGGAGCAATTTAATTGTTAGTGAGGTTGAAAAAAAAAAAGGGGGGGGGGGGGGGCCTCTAAAATTGACTCGTCCAGAGTTTCAGTTACATAGGGGCATCATAACACACACAAAGGTTTGGGAAACACTGGATACAGGGTTGTCAGGCTGGACTCCTGTGCCCATGATCCCCTTGTGGATTCTAAACCCCAATTAGAGAAGGAAGGGTGAAGATAAAACCCACTGTCTCTAACAAGCTTGTAGTAAAAAATGACTAATTGGGAGTTTGCTGAAACCGAATATGTGTGTGGGGGGGGGGGGGGAGGCCCCACATATTGCAGCCTAGCTGTAAACCACACAATGTACCAGCCACCTTTTTTAATGGTGCACACAAAAGATGATGACAAAAAAACGGGTCCATTACTTTGGAAATAGAAAAAAAAAATTCTTTTAAACAAACATCAATGTGGAAAATGTCACAGCTTTGCTGTAAAAGGGACAGAGCAATTAATTTGAAAGCAAACATTTTGAAAATTAAGAATAATAAACACCTGTAGTCTGTTTTACATTGTTGTATAATTTTCATAGCACAGAACGCACTAGGAAGTTATCACAGGGTAGGGGTCCAGTTGAGAAGGATATAACCCCAGGCCAGTTGATGAAACATTAGGAAGCCATGCCTAACGCCAGCCAGGATATGTGTGCTAATTAACTACAGAGTAATAAATATCTGGTTGGCTTGACCACATGGTTGTCCAAGAAAAGAGCACTTCCTAATGATTCTGGTGATTGTTTGGGACCCATGTTTTTAAGATTCCTACAATATAAACATCAGTGCATTGGACTTGTGAACGGGGATCTTTAATTTAAACTTTGAAATAGTTCCAGATAGGTTTCTATGTTTTTTAAAATAAATATTGGATTTAACCTAATTTTGTTCACAGCTGTCAGTGAATGTCATTCAAGCTGCAGACTTGCCAGGGATGGACATGTCTGGAACCAGTGATCCTTATGTGAAGGTCTACCTGCTGCCAGACAAGAAGAAAAAATATGAAACCAAGGTGCACAGGAAGACACTAAATCCAGTCTTCAATGAGACCTTCACCTTCAAGGTCATTATTAGAGTTGCTTCCTCTTGATTTGTATTTTTTATTTCTTTAGTCACATATTTAACTTTTGGTGCTAGTAGGTAATCATTTTAACTTTCTTTATCCCTAAAAGTTTTATTTTAAGGATGTCAGTGTATGGAAATGCAAAAGTGAAAATATGATACTGTAGGACTGTATATGTTTTCCCCATTTGGAAAGGGAAAAGGTGGGGGGAGGGGGGGGGGAGGGTTATAAATAGATGTACTGCACCCTAAAAAGGTAACAAAGTAAGGATGTGCTGAGATTGTATATGTTGAGGTAAGGCATGGTTATTGCAGTCTAACTGTAAAACTAACACAATGTGCCAACCATAGAAGAAGAAAAAGAAGAAAAGAATAGGTTTAGCTAACAATGTCAATAGAATGATTTAATGTACCAGATGTCTGTGATAAAATAGAAGAAACTAAACAAAGTGTAAACCACTTCTGGGCTAATCAATTAACATACGGTGAGTTTTTTAGTACTGATAGTTTTAAAAAACTTTTATGGTAGAATTTCTAATAAATATGTATCATTGTCTTAGAAGCTGTAATTTTGTAAAACATTTTTTTTTGTAAAGCTGAACTTTTCTGACATAAAAAAAGTGGTTGGAAAAGGGGGGAGGCTCATCTAGAGATTGTTCCTCTTATTGTCCATGGTATGTGGTGTTGGAAATGAAGTCTATACTAGCTTTCCCGTTCTCATGATGTGTGACTGGATAAGTGGATGATCTCCTTTTGATGTGGGTCATCAGTTCTCTCTTTGTCTGTCTGAATGTGGGTCATCAGTTCTCTCTTTGTCTGTCTGAATGTCAGTATGCTCCTCTTTCCTGCCCCCCCCCCCCCCCCCCATCTGTTTGACTTTCCCACCCTCTCTCTTTCTAATTGTCTTTCATCTTTCTATCATTTTCTGTCTCCTGACTGTCTGTCCTGCCTACCCTCTGTCTTTCTCTCTCTCTGTCTCTCTTTCTCTTTCTCTTTTTCTCTCTTCCCTCTTTTCTTTCCTCTCTATCTTTCTCTCACTAAGTCACACTTCTTTTTCTCCTGCCCCATCTCTCTGCTCCTCCATGTCTCTCTCTCTACCCCTACACATGGTATCATATGAAACAAAATCTTGGCCATTATGTATTCCCGAGCCAGGTGTATCTGTCTGTGACTAACAGCTGAAACTCTAATATGTTTTCATTATCAGGCTAACTACTTTTGCTGCCTGTAAAGTTCAAGATCATAAACTGTCTGCAGTTTTATTGACATTTTGATACAGTATTATTCTACTGAGGAGCAGTTGGCGGAGTGGTTAAAAACACTGGGCTGTCAGTCATGAAACCCATGTTTGAGTCCTTGGTAAGGTGAAGGTTTTTTTTTTCTCTGTTAGGGGCACACACAAAAACCCATCTTAGCCTATACATTCTGTGGTGCCTGCCCTAACCATGTGATCCTAAATCCTCAGGTTCGTAACCCCACATGTCCTGCCCAGTATCTACATACAGACACAGACAGTTATTCTACAACAAAAATACATTTGGCATTTATTTATTTTTTAACAGGTCCCGTATGCTGAAGTTGGGTCAAAGATCTTGACCTTTGCTGTCTATGATTTTGACCGATTCTCAAAACATGACCAGATTGGGCAGGTGCAGGTACCTTTGAACTCTATTGATCTTGGACGAGTTGTAGAGGAGTGGCGGGACCTACAGTCTCCTGATATGGAATCAGAAAAGGTGAGGAAAGTTTAGTAAACCTTGCTATTTATGCAGGCGAATTTCAAAATGGATAAAGTGAAGTTATCTCTTATATGCAAAGTTATCATTCATATCAAGTTATAGCTCATATTTGAAGTTGTAACTCATGGGTGAAGTTATAAATCATGTGTCAGGTTATATATCATATGTGAAGTTGCAACTCAAATTAAGCCATTTGGGGATAATGCCCAATGCAATTAAATAAATCTTGTTACCTTTAAACATCTGTATTATTTTTTGTATGGTACACATATTTGTCTTTTATCTAAGATTTGATATTATTTTCTGCAAATGCTCTTTGATTTGCAGGAAAACAAGCTTGGAGACATCTGCTTCTCTCTGCGTTACGTTCCCACCGCAGGAAAACTGACTGTTGTCATTCTGGAGGCTAAGAATCTCAAGAAGATGGATGTTGGGGGCTTGTCGGGTGAGTGAAGAATTTCTTCTTAGTTTAACAACTGCTGCTGCTGCTCTTTTTAACCTTGGGGTTGCCACCTGAAGGTTTGACACCATCAGGTCACAAATTCTCAATCTAGATGGCAGATCAACAAGATAGATCTCACCAGATATTTCCATTTAACCTTCAAAGAGCAATTATTGCCTATGATAGCTAAACCAGCCAAGTGTAACCTATAGTCCTTTAGGAAAATAGATTAAAATGAGAAAAAAAAATCATGAGTACAGTTAGAGACTGTCACTCTATTGCAGAGGGATGAAGCGAAGCTAGATTCTTGTCCTTTAATGTAAACAGATGCAATATGGGTAAAGAACCCTTTTCACACCATTGATGCATTAGACATTTGATGCTAGATCCATATTTTTATACACTAATCGGCACTTGGTTGGTGGTGTGATCATTGTGTATTTTACATCATTCATTATTCCAACTATCTTGAGTGAGCAACGTTCAAGCCCACCAGGACCACACAGCGAGCGATTAACACCTAGTGACACAAAGTGCCACTATATGGATGAGAATCACCCAGGCACAAGTCCCAGAAATCTTGTTCAACCGTTAGGTTATACTAGGGCACCTGACGACAGCCAGGGTGGGGCTTCAAAATACAAAAAAAAAATGATGTCCTATTTTGGACAGGGACGTTTTAGATTCCAGCTATCATAATTAAAGCTGTGTGATATTGCATGACCAGACATAATTGGTAGACATAAGTATACATTATTGAAGTTAAAAAAAATGTATTACACACAAAAAAAAAAAAAACCAGTGTACCTCAATTACATATAACCTAGATGGGTTAAACCGGATATTGTTTAAATTATTACTACTTTCTTAATTAAAGATCTTGTTGATCATATATCCCTTACCTGCAAAGGACATTAGGGTTCAACAGGGAAGTACTTTTGTAGCTGAAAGGTAATTCTTTCGGCCTTACTGGCATAGGACTACAGGTAACATCTGGCTGATAAAGCCATTATGGGTGCACTAATTCAAACTTCTTTAGAGGTTAACTGGGTACCTGAGATCTGCTTTGTTGGTCTGCCATCCAGATGGAGATTCTTCAATGTCAGGATGGTATGGTAAATCTTTAGGTAGCAGCCTACAGGAAATAAAGATATAGACCAACTATTACATAATGGGACATGTGGTCAGCATTATGTTGGCTGCCTTTACTTCACATAGTATGTCCTGGTACCCATTTTGGGCTGGGTGAACATGGGGGCCCAAGACATTTACAACAAATATGCCCTGATGCAGATTTTACTCTTAAGACTTTTGAGGACAGCAGACAAAATCTCTCTTTTTTATGCACATAAATTAGTGAAAATAGTTATAGATTTTCATCTAGCCTTCTCGAATAAGGGCAAAATATTCAGAGGACGGGATGTCTTGTCAGCACAGAGAGAAGATGCTTGGCCCGGGTTCAAGTCCCAGTGAAGCCTGTGATTTTTTCACGTGAACCTCTAGTAATTCCCCTTGTCTCTGGGTGGTAAGATGCGCACATTAATAAAATCCCTTGGCAGTTGGTAATCGAAAAGAGTGGCCTAAGAGTGCTGCCCGGGAAAATTTGGAGTTGAAATCGACCCAATATATTTTCAGGATCCTCTCCGGTACTGCGGAGATCGTGCACTGCACTGAGATTCTTCGGACTCAGGCTTGAGTTAGAAGTAGAACTCAGCACTTATGAGTTACTACCCTTGTGCTATGATATTGATCCTTTGTTTAAACCTAAACCGATTGGTTCGAAGATCTAGGATTCAAATCCACATAAAAGCATATTTTGTTTCATAGTTGATCTTGGCCTCCAGGTCAACCCATTCTAAAATGGGTACCAGGAAATATCCTGGGAAGTAAAGGTGACTAATGTTAAAATGACCTCAACACAAGTACACATCAGTCTATACAAAAATGAAGGGGTAAAAGGGTCTTTTGCTGACTTTTTGCTTACTCAGAGGACAATGTGTGTGAAAGCTACCTTTTCTGCAAAGCTCTTGCATTTCACAATGATATAATTTAACCCCTATGGATGAGTAAGATTGTGTAATAGGTTAGACATCTTCCAGGCAAGTAAGATTACCCAAAACTGGGTCATATCTGGAGTATTGATGAAAATATCATGGCAATCACTAGTATCAACAGTTATAAGACAGAGCAGATGGGGTTATACTGGGCACATTCTGAGAAGAAATCAGCAGAGAATCACCAAACAGGCATTGAAATGGGAAATAGAGTGAATGAAGAAGGATGCCCAGCTGAAACCTAAAATTAACATTGATGAGAGAGACCAATGGGGCTGGACCGGCTTCCATCCATGATATTGAACTGATTGCACAGGGTAGAATGGAATAGAGGAATAGACTGCTAACCCAATGTAACATCTAATGGCACAATAGGATAAAGAATGAATGAATTACTTTACAATGTGCAGTTTTCCTTGCCACTTAGTTCTCCTCAATCTCCTGTATTAATTAAGTGCTTTAAGTCAGTGCTGTAATCCTTCCCTCAACTTGGTCACAACAGTTCATTGTCCACAATCACTGCTAAACCATAAACCTCAATGCAGACAATATGAAAACAGAAATGTCCACGTCATTATTTGTCTCTGAGTGTATACTTTCTGTTTTACAACAAACTTTTGCAGATCCGTATGTCAAAATTGCCCTCCTTCAGGGCACAAAACGCCTGAAGAAGAAGAAAACCACAATTAAGAAAAACACGCTCAATCCGTACTTCAACGAGTCTTTTGGCTTTGAGGTTCCATTTGAGCAGATTCAGGTAGACTGCCTTAAGTTGCACCAGACATTTTTGAATGTTTTACCTTTTCCGGGCACTCGTTTTTATCAATCCAATTCATTTTTTTCTGTCATGTTGCAGTGATTTCTGTAATTTTTCTTGTCTTGAATATTGTTGAAATTTTTATAATTATTCTGAATTTTCTTTGAGGTACATCATGTGATCCTTGATTCGTGTGTTTCGATTCTTTTATCCTTTACTTACATCTCACGTGTGCTCAAGAGATCGAATCACATAAGTAATGACCAAACATAACACAAATTTCACATGTTAATTTGCATACATTTGCCTAGCTTGTTTTATTTAAAACAAAATTGCTACATGTTCTATTGAATTGGATCTGTAATGTCCATAGGGAACACTCTCAAAAAAATAACCCCCCACCTACACACAAAAAACAGGAAGTACGTTTTAAATCCTCTAACCAAATATTGAATATTCAGTCAGTTTTTTCATAATCTTAAAACATGTAAGATACAGATAAGTATTGAAAGTGGCATAGATAAAAGTATAATGGAATAAACACTATTATTATCAGCAGACACTTCTCGCCAGTTTTGATAATTGTAGGAAATAGAGAAACAGTCATGAAATTGCTCCTTTTCAGCTGTATCATTTTTTTCCCCCTATTAATAAATAGTGAATAATAGTAAAATTGAAGTAATGATAAAATTAAGATTTGCCAAATATTATGCATACTTAATTTTTTTGGAAGCGGCAGAGATGTGGTTTTATAAAGAATGATGAGTACACACTGGCCAGACAAAAAAAGTAATGAAGACGACGAAAAAGAAACTGACTCACGAAGAGAACTCACATCAGGAATCTACATACTTTGGTCATGTGATGAGAAGGAAAAAACTGGAGTACTGTCAGTAGTTAGCACATTTGAATATTGTCTGACAATTATGAGGCTACAAGTTGTAAACATGTAATTCTAAAATCGCAAACATATCCGTTGCTCTTCACACTAGGTAACAATTGGTTAATATTTATTATGTAATTATAAACTGTTAGATAAGAGGAGCATTAAGGTTCAAAGCTGTAAAAAGTATGTTATCCTAAAACTAAATCAAATCCACATTTATATTCAAATCTTTAGTGGCGGTGATTCTTTCTGTGGTTGAGCTGTTATTTCTTGCCGCTTTTTAATATCATTTACATATTTTTAAGTTTCAGATTTTCGTATTACTGTGATTCACATCAATTTTTTTCTTTTGCATATAATTCTTCATTATGCCTGCCATTTTTAGTGTTGATTTTTTTAACGTCCATATTATGTTTGTTTTTTTCCTTTCTTTAATGACATAATCTGCTCGGAGCAGATCCCTATGTCAAAATCTCTCTGATGCTGAATGGAAAACGAGTGAAAAAGAAGAAGACTACCATCAAGAAATGCACTTTGAATCCATACTATAACGAATCTTTTACATTCGAAGTTCCATTTGAACAAATCCAGGTATATTGTCAGTTCTGTTTGCTATTAAAATTTTTTTGTTACGTTGTGGCTTTGCTTTAAATGGGTTATTCTTTTTGGTTGCATTGCTTCAAATGTTTGCTAGAATTATATGTATTTAAATGTTTTTATGTGTTTACAATCTATAAAGAAATGTGTAAATATTATCTATATTGAATAAAATAGATTGCATTCATTTTATATCAGATACATATGCATTCCGTGTGTAAAATATGTTGTACTGTATGCTAAAATTTCTATGCAAATTGCTTTAGTAAGTTCAGACCAATATTGTAAAAAAAATCGACTGGTTTTAAATGTAGGTAAAATAATTTGTTATACAAGTTGCATATTTTGGGACAGAAAGAATGGATATCTTATCACTAAAGAATTAACATCTTATTAAAAAGACTTTAGTTTCATAGCCTCTATTTTTATGTTTAGAAAAACATCAATTAATTTGGTTTTTTAAATTAACATATAAATAATTAAGACAGCATAAATACAATAATGTCATTTTTAATAATTAATCCTACATTGCATAAAGATAACAAAGTTACATTGAGTGCAGCAATTTTTTCTTTATGAAATTGCCAATGTCTGGCAACAACATATTGTGTGTCATTTGTAGTGTTTGCTGTCTACTGAATGTTACATGTCTATGTATTTAGAAAATATTGTATGTTTCTTTATGTGATAACACTACCGAATCAGTTTACCTTTCATTTTAGGTTGAGGGAAAAGAACATTATATACTACTTACGATTATTGTAGACAATCATAAATATCTTTTATGGGTTGTAAGCACAGTTTCACAATCCCAGCATATTAGTGTTCAAAGTCTGTTGGATTTAAATTGGTAACAGACCATTTCACAATGTTTTTGACAGCTGTAAGACTGTTATAATATTTAGAAAGCAGTGGCAAACTACTAAACAGAAAATTGTCCATTAAAACCACACAATATGTAATAAATGCTGGGTTTGGTTCTGAAGTCCTGTAAAGCAGTGTTCTTCAATCTTTTTTACAGTGCAGATGGGAAGAATTGGAGAAATATTTTGCAGACTGGCTCACAGCTAAGACATAAACAAAACTAAATGTAGACACTGTTTTATTTATTCAGTAAAATGTTATCAGGGAGCTGCTGTGATTTAGCAGATAGATGCTCACCAGAGGCCCGATGGTCATGAGTTCAAGTCTCTCTCTAGCCAGAATGTTTCAGAAATGACCCTGGCTCCCAGGTCGACACAACAACATAAAATGGGTGCCAGATAAAGTTGTGAGAAGTAAAGGTGGCCAGTTTGATGTTCCCCACATCACTCCATCGCCCCCCACCCCGAATGCCAGTTAGTCTATAAGATATAAGTCTAGCACTGAATGCCCAGTACCCCTAATGGTGTGAAAAAGGGTCTTCACTTTACAGTGTTATAAAATAGCAATTCTTAACTAATGCAACATGCTGAGAATTTAAAACATATTACATAGGTGGCTGGAGTGTTGTTTCTAAGAGATTAGACATTGCAAATAACACTTATTCAGTTTCTCCATTTGGTCTTCACTGTAATCACTGTGTGACGGTCAAATACTTTTGAAAGACTGTCAGAAAATTTAAACAGGCAGACCCTGCTGTTGACTACAAGTTACATAAATCATTCATAGTTGTTAAATATATACATGTCTATTATCATAATCATAATAAAGTGGAGGCCGTCTGTGCTACCTTCGGCTAGCTTGAGAATCAGCTGTACACTTATGCCTTGATTTTAACTGACTCACAGAGCATGTTGAGAAAGGTGAGGACAGGCATGCTTTGTGCAGAGTGGCAAGCTTCACTTCAGAGGTCCTGGATATTATTGATTATTTCAGTGATGGAGTATGGTTTGGGCCTGCTCACGTTATCTAACAGCAAAATAGAGAAGCTGGAACACATGCAAAATGAAGCTGTGTGAGTCATTTTAGGATGTACAAGGGACACACCTGTTATATGCATGCGGCAAATACTTGCATTCCTTTTGTATATGAAAGATAAAAATTGTTACAGGTGAAAATTTATCTCAAAGTCGCAACAGCAAAGGAACACCTTCTACATGAGGCTTTGTGGGACAGCAAGGGGCATCGGCTGAAAAGAGGTAGTTCCTGGATGGCACAGGCAGAAGTCACAATCAGAACTGTTTTTTCAACTGACAAGCGCATAGTAAAGAATGAGTCACAGTGCTGCCGAGAAAAACAGACTTTCACAGAGTGATAGTTACCTTAGATTGAGGGTGCTGGAAGTTGAAAGCTAATGAAACAGAGGAATCGGTGCAAGAGCTGATCAATAAAAATTTACTCCCAGGATACATCGTTGTATACACAGATGGGTCTGTAGTGAGAGGTAAAAAGAGTGGGTAGGGTTATATTGCAAACAATTGATGGACACTGTTTGAAAACAGAGAGCCTCATATATAACGTCACAATATCCTGTCTGAGAATGGAGGTGGAGGTGGTAATGGCAGCTTTCTGATGGCTTGAGAGCAACATGGCTCAACATGTGGTCATTGTGACAGACTCACAGAGAATGCTTCACAAAACAGAAACTGGCATCTTATGAGTATAAAAGCTTGCTTCAGTTGATGAAACTCTAATCAGGTGCATGTCGTGGATTTTCTGTCCAACACATTTGGATGTGCAGGGTATTGAGCAAACTGATAGATTGACTGCTCTCATTCTTACGGGTGATGAGCGAAATCGTGGTAAATTAGAAATGATGAAGGCTCTCTGGGATCAAGTGGACACTGCAACAGAACAGACAAATCATCCATACATTGACAGACTAATTTAAATATGGGTGAGCAGTTGGTCTAGAGGATATACAAGACTGCAGGGAAAACATTGGCTGACTTTTAATAGGTTGCAACAGGTACTATTAGCGTATCAACTCTTCGTTGGCTGTAGAAGAAGGAGACGGAGCACATGTGGGAATATCCTGAGTGCAGGGATGTCAAATCTTCATTCATTCATTCATTCATAGAGCCTTTTGAAGTTCATTTTGTAATTCATGTTTATCAGCATCTTAATTTGTATTTTATTCTGTTATTTTTTGTTGGTTTGTAGTTGTTGCTGTCCATGGCATTCTTGACTAACTAAGCCACTTGCACCAGTCTTATATGTTAATCATCGTATTTTAATCCCCATTCATCCTCATGTTTTCTTTTTTAATATTATGATATTAGTTTATGAGAATGCCTTTGAAAAAATTATAGCTTTCACATACTAACTATCTGGCATACAAAAAATGGCTGTGTATAGTTTTCACACATTATTTTTAACATTTTTTCTATATGTTTTTATATTTGTTTTCATAAATATGTTAGTTTTATCTGTATACATTTATATCTTTATTGTGGCAAGTTACCACACACTCAGGAATATACCCAGGAGGGGATCTGAGGATTTATGGACCTTATGGACCAGAGGGTTAGATGAAAAAACTATTTTTTTTTAAGAGAAAATAACTTGCCTTGCAGGACCCTTGTTCATCTTCCCATCTGGTTTCACTCCTTAATACTTTATTCCATTCATACATAATTTAACAGATAATAATAAACACCATCAACATATCTATATGCTATGATCTCAGTTTTAACTCACCTCACTAAACAGACACTGAAATGAGAAACGAATGGATCGAGGAAATAAGAAAATCCGAGAAAAACCCTAAGTCAAACATTGTTGTGAGAGGCCAAAGGAACTGGTTTGGATTCCATCTGTGACATCCATAAGATTTCACAGGATGGAACGGAATGGAGCACCAGACTGGGAACTCTGTATGATGAATAATGCCACCACAGGATGATGATGAGGACAAAATCTATATCCAAGCTTTGATAATATTTAGATACATGGTGCTAGAACTATATTTCCATAGACTTCTTTGTTTTCACCGGCTGTAAACTCCAGTTGAAAGTTCTGACTGTTTATCCAATTCTGGACTCTAATCTTGTTGCAGAATTTGAGTTTTGCTTGCATATCTGTTTTACAGATCTGGCTTATTTGTATGCAGACTGTTGGTTCCTCACTTCTCAAGCAGATGCACTCTGGCTTTAAACGAAACACCTCTAGTTAGTCGCTTTTTATGACATGCTTGTGAGGTGGCAGCGAGACTAGTCACTTTACTCCAAAATGGGGCCATGGAAGCCATATTGGGAGTTTTTCATAGTCAATAGTCACTTTTTTGGATGATGCGGTCAAAGTCTCACCAGCCATGATTACCTCCTAGAACATTTTCTAGCATCCATTTAAAATCTAGGTCACCCTGAAAACCCAGGTCAGTTGAGGGGAAAAAAGATGATTCAAACATAAAATATCCAAGACAGCAGGCTAATGTGCTGGTTACTTTGTTACATGACTCCCATCTGGAATATTGTGTTCTACTCGTTTCTGTATTCGGTCTTAATTCTTTCAGTTCCAAACAAGGCATAGTTTATGAATTAATCCCTGTGTGGCCACCTGGGTAGGCAGCTTTCCAGCTTTCGTTGAATAGTGTGTTTTTATTTATGTTTTACATTTGGTTTAACCATACTCTGGAAAGCTGCCTACCCAGGTGGCCACTTCACTGTATTTAGTCTCTGTCTAGCATTCATAATTTGTTTTCCAGCTTGGGAATTTTCTGCAAAATCTTCTGGTACCGAAAGAGTTAAATGAGTGGTTAAAATGGTGTTTTGTGATTGACAACTAGGCTACAATATCTCTGCCTTTCAGTGCAATACATTTAATGTCAGCCAACCTTTACTTTATTGTAATTATCATCATGTTGAGCCATTGGGCTGTGTCCTCAGACGATTTCCAGAAAAAGATTATAATCTTATTTTTTGACACCTTCTGTCTTTCCTGAAAATAGTGTTATTTTGTGTGAGAGGGAGGCATGGGAATGTATATTGAGTGTCATCATCATGTAGCAGGTCCTTTGCAGACCATCGCTCTCATCACGGTCTGCCTGAAAGAAACTCAGTCTCTCGCCAGCTCTCCCGCCTTATGCACTTTCACACTCAAGGAGTCACTTATATCCTGTGCCCATCTTCATATTAGTTGGCCCCCACCCCTCCTTCCTGGTAGCATGCCTTCTGCTATAATTTTTTGCAATCCATCGTGGCTCTTGATATGACCAAAATATTTCAGCTTATGTACTTTGTATATAATTCAACCTATTGTATTATCTATTTCAAAAGTTCCTTGAATTTGTTATGCAGCTCATAAGATTCATAGGAAACAATACGGGCTTGCTTGAGAACTTATTAGTCCCTGTATAATAATTTGTATGCATTTATCTTCTCTTATAATGTATGTTTGATAAAACTCTGTAGTTTGATTTGAACTGGCTTGTATTTGTCTTTTGTCCTGATTTGATGCATACACATTTAGTTTATAAAGACTGGCAATTTTATTGTCATAAATATCTGTTTATATATGTACAGTTGATTCATATTTATTAGTAATTTTATTGTTCTAAATTTCTGGTAATGCATAAATATTTAATATCCATTTACACACAATTTTATCATCATAAATTGCTGTTTATAATGTATATTTAATTTGCATCTTTTGGCAATTTTATTGTCATATATATATTTATATATGTATCTGTATTCATACTATACTATCTGTATTCATCTGTGTAGTATTAGCATCGATTTTAGCATATGAATTATAACAATATTTCAGTGCCTGTATGGTGGATCTCTATCTGCTTCTCCTCATGTTATGCCCAGTAGTCTTGATTTCATTCCAGTTAATGTTCATAAACTTGAAGCAGTGGCAAGGAGCTCATATTTCACTCCTCATCAGTGTATCCCGCAGCTGTATGAGCCTTAGTGCTAGCAGTATCCGAGTAAGGCATGATTGTAGTCTGATTTTTTTGGTATAGACATAATACCTTTTATGTAAAGTTGATAATTCTTAGGAAAACATAAGTCTTGTATCGTCATCATCAACATGTGCCCTGCCAACTGGCGTAGGTGCTTATGCGTCTCGACAGATCACGATCCCTGGTGATGAAATTCCTCCATGTATAGACATGCTCATTCACAAGTAGACATATTTACCCCCATTTTGAGGTAAAAAGTACTACACCCACTGCCCTCTAACAAACATGTCGTACATGTGCACTAATCAGGTGTTTGCTGAAATTGGATGTGCTGCGCACCCTTTTTAAGGGTAAGCAAAGAGCAAAAAGAAATAGACATGATAATCCTTGTGTAGACATTAAAATTCATGTGTGTACATGACATTTCCCTGGTGTAGACATGATAATTCTAACATCCATATTGTAACAGCTTCATGTTTTTAAACATTTCAGAAATGTTTAGTTAATACTTTTAAAAATTCCATTAGTGTGTTCAAACATTTGATAACCGTATAGTAAGCACTTTGTTATTTTCCATATTTGAATGTGTTCAAATATTTTTTGTATATATATTTAGCTCATTCCTCTATGTTTGAATGTACTGAATCAGTCTGAAATTATATTTAACTCTATTAACCTCAATATTTTAATTAAATGAACTGTTTACAAAATATTTATTTGAGTTCTTCAGTCTCAAATAGTTGTTACTTCAACATTGTCAATTCTAAAGTTGTTAAACTTAAAAGCAACACTTTTTTTGTGTGTTTTGAAGAATTAAATAAAAAACAGCTTTTAGACGGAGGATTTATAGTTGAAAACTGAGATTGAGTTGGTTAACTCTTTTGGAACTAGAGGTAAGTTAGTTAAAAATCAATGCATGATGATTTATTGGTGCACAAAGAGTTACCTTATTTTAAAAAATGGGACAGAAAAAGTTAAGTTTACCATATAAAGATTAACCTCTGAACATATTAACCTGATACTTGACGAGTTAACTCTTTAATAACCTTCAAATATAAATATGTTTTAGGTTTTCATGATTTTTTTTTTGTAATTCTTTAATCTCATCACTGTTATTTAAAGACAGTACCTATTTTTGATTGAGTATGTAAGTAATGTATGTACTTAAAAAACCTCTTTCACACCAGGCATATGATGCCTTATTATAGACCAATCGGCATGTGATGTTTTCAGCATCCTGCCAGCCACCTTTATTTCCCAGGACATTTCCTGGTATCATTTTAGGCTGACTTGGGAACCAAGCTCAGGTATAATAATTCCGACTCTGTGTGTATTGGATCCAAAACCTTTGGGCTGCAGACCATTTCCAGCCCACTGTGCTACCATAGCTCCAGGTTAAGTATGAGTTCAAATAATCACAGTGTGACGCAGAAGTTACAGTAGTAACCTGAGCAGGATAAGATAATATAACCTTAAAATAAAATTGCCAAACAAAATTGATTCATTTCAGAAAACCTCACGTGGTGATCATTAACCACCTATTTTATTTTATATTGTATATATAAATCATCAGATGCATTATGCTTCTAATACCAAGCTTCCTATGTGGGTTCTGGAGCCCCATTTTTGGAGGGGGAGGGTGTTAGACATACTGCCCCCCCCCCCCCCCCCCCCCCCCCCACACACCTCAATAATTAGCAGTTTTTACATTTGCTTAAGAGGTGAGGAACGAACAGGTTGTATATAAAAAATGCTGAAAATAAATGTGCATGCAAAACTCAAGTTCTGGAACATAACTAAAGTCCAGATGTGGACAAACAACCAGAACTTTCAGAAGGTGAGCCGGTGAGTTGAAAAAAAAAAAACATACCATGCAACTAATTGTGCGTTTTCTGGTTACTCTTGACAGAACCTGCTTGTATATCTCCTTAATCCTTTCCCAGCTGATAGATAAACCCAGTCTATCCCAATTTTTACTTAACTAATTGTGTGCTGTAGTGTTATTATTTGAACCTATTCATGGCCAGTATACAGTAGTTTAAGTAACAAATGTAACTCTCAAAGTCCTAGACTTGTGTTTCATTAACTCGTCATTTCCAAAGCAGTAGCTGCTTAAATAAATTTGTGTTCAGGCATGAAGGAGTTCAAAAATAACACTATAGGATCAAAGAAATCAAATTCACAGTTAGGATAGAATAAGTTAAAGTTACTTTTAGATAGGGTACAAGACACTCAGAAAAACATAGCATGTCTGACAATTCCAATAAACATATGGAGAGGTGAATGGTACTGAAAGAGTTAAGACTGTAATGAGTTTAAGTAACATGTGAGTGGGACTGAAGAGTTTAATTAACAGACAACCAGTAAAAGAAAGTAAAGATAATTTAAAGATAATAAAATAAACATATCTTAAATAAAAAAAATAGCTAATTGTTTTTGTTATTTCTTTCTCACACAGAAAGTCACTCTGATAATCACTGTGGTTGACTACGATCGTATTGGCACCTCAGAGCCAATTGGCAGATGTGTCCTGGGCTGTAACTCTTCTGGGACAGAGCTCAGACACTGGAGTGACATGCTGGCCAATCCTCGCCGGCCAATTGCACAGTGGCACACGCTCCAGGAAGTGCCAGAGAAGAGCTAAAGTGACAAGCTTTTCCTCTCATATCTGTATGTTTTATTTATCCAGTCAGGGAAACCTAATGAAGTTTGAATCCCTTTGGTAACACCTGAAAGTTTCTTGCATTGTCTTGTTTATATTATTTATTGGGCAGGTACGTTTTTGTAAGATCAGAAGTTCGTTTAATTTGATTCTTATTGCCCATTATTAATACAAACATTTCATAAATAAAGATCATTTAAATTGTCCAGCAGATCTGAATCATGGAAAAACATAAATTTAGCGTTTCCCACATACACTACAAATCAATTATCATTTTAACTCTTTCAGTACCATGCAGATCTTACTTGAAACGCAGTATATTCTAAGGAGTTGCTTTTCTTCTTCTACTTCTTCATGTCCTCTTTTACCATTTCCAGTGCGGAGGGAGTTATATGGTGAGTTTGTTGCTCTTTTGATTGCCTCGACTATAGATAGACCATGCTGTTGTTGAGTTTCTCCATTATCTTTCCATCGTGTTCTTTGTGTACCTCATGCCCATCTTCTATTTTTGTGTCTGCCCTCTATGGTATGTCGTTCTCCCTAAGTGTGCAAACCATTTGATTTGCTGTCTTTGTATACAACTTAGTGTTGGTTCTATGCCGACTTTTCCTCTTTTGACCTTATTCCTGATTCTGCCTTTTCTGGTCACTCCTGCATCACTTCTGAGATATCTAACTTATTTACTTTTCTGGTTTGGTGTGAGCGACCATGTCTTTGTGTTGACTAGGATTGTCTTATGCTGTTTGACATTGACATAGTTGCGCTGTAAGAATGGCGGGGGGAAAAAAAAAGGGGGGGGGGGGGTAGCTATCTTGATACTTGGTTTGCCTTACTGCATCTGATGTTAATTGCTTTCTTTGTGAGATGTTGTTACTTTAGGTAACAGTTGGTGTCTGAAGAGTTCAAATAATAACATAATGGGACAGAATAATTACAGTATGACCTAGGTTAGTGTACTGTTCTTACCCACACAAGACTTCAAGTTACACCAGGCAAGTGTAGCCAATAAAGATGCCCTAATTATAACTTCTTTGGAGGTTGAACAGGGTATCTGGGATCCAGATTGAGATTTTTTCTTATCTCAAGGTGGTAAACTTTCAGGTAGCACCCTGAAGAAGACAAATTTATGGATCGATAAATAAGAGTAAGTTATTGTAACTACTGCATTGAGCTACAAGGAGTTAAGAAATGTATTTGATGTCATTTGAAACCAACAAACTCATGGTGAGTTGCTTGGTACTGAATGAGTTAAATAGTGTAATAAAATTGTTATTTGTTTCATTTCACAAGCCACCTCCAATATTTTAGCTTGAATTGTTTTATTTATTTTTTTACTTTATGTTTTAATAATCTACCTGGTCACAATCGTCTTTAGTTCAGTAATAGTGCAATATTTCATGATTTGTGTTTGCAGATTGCTGTCATCTGCTAGAAGTGAATTATGATGTATCATACAGCATCATTACATAATTATTCTTCTCCATTTCCCTTATACAGCTTGGGGTGTCGAGGGCGATGTAGGTTCTGTTTCTATCTTAAAATGTAACTATATGTATCAGTTCACAAAGACAGAAATGGCTAGTACTAAACATTAGAAAATCATAAGGCTACACCTTCTTTAAAACATATTACTGTGCAAGTTTAAATAATAAGCCAGATTTCTTCACCATTCTCAGACCAAACTTGAACAGTTAATAATTCTGTGGTGATACTTTAGCAGGTCTGGTAGAACATTTCTTTAGCCACAGTAAGCTGGAAATCCACTTGGTTACGTTGCCAGCTTTCCTAGCTTGTGATCTAATCTGCCCAGGATGTCCTTAAAATCCTGTGTCCAGCATCTCATAATTGACTCCTGTCTCTACTTTCCAGAACCTTACCTTCCATTGCTGTTCTCTCAGGGGGTCTCCGCGGTAAAGCCATTTGTCTCAAGCTCTGAAAGTTGCGGGTTCATTTCATAGAATTAGTGCAGCTTTTATGAAGAACTCTTGGGGTCACTGCTGGAGCTACGGAATTTGTACTTTGTGTGGCAGGCGACCAGCTATTTTGTGGAGAAAGACCAAGCAGTATGGGGTAACCCAATGCAATTAAGTCAAATGAAATTAGTAAATAAATATAATACATAATTAAAAATAATCCAAGTCTCCTATAAACCACTGTATTATATTGTTTTTGCCTCAGTTAAGGTGGAATATTTTTCTGTACTGTATATCCACAACTCCAGTGACTCAGTTTGACTTTTCAATTGTTCATGTATTGTTCAGGTTTCTGTGCCATATGTTACTGTGAAATAAATGTTGCATTTTACAATTCGGATTTTAACATGTTGTTTATCTTTCTAGATTCATATAAATATTTCCTGTATAAAAATAGTTTCTATTGTTTCCATTTTTAAAAATCTTTTGTTTCTTTCTCACTTCTTCTTTTATCTGTTATACAATTCAGAGATAGGGAAAATGTATTACTTGGTCCAAAATCTCCCTGTTTACTGTAGAAACTTATTACTTGTTCTTGTTTCTTCCTGTTTAGTATAGAAACCTGTTACTTGTTTTATTTTCTCCCTGTTTACTATAGCAACTCTAGTATCTCCCTGTTTACTTTGATGCTCATTTTCAATTTTATTTTAGTGTGCTATTGCTTTTAAAAAAGTTACACTCACAAATGACATTATAAATAAATATACATGAACAATAGATGACCACACATACAGCATTTTTGGGACCCCCAAAAAGAGTATAACAATTATCTGAGAGAGATAATAACCAATGAACAGTTCGACATTAAATTATGTGTGGTTATTAAAAACATGATGTAATTTTTTTGGGGGGTAGGGGGGGGTGTCTGTATGTTTACAGGGTTTAGTATGTGAGCCTTTGTTTTGGGGAAATATTTGGTTCATTTCTACCTTAACTTTCAGTATGTTTTACTTAAATTCATTCTTAAAAAAAAATTACTTTTACTAAAAAAAGTAATGAATAAATGAATCAAGAACGGAAATCGCTGCACTCAAGGCATTCTCACACATGTTCTGTCCTCTTTCTTACCAATAACAGTTGCATTAAAGGAGGTCAAACAAAAATAGTATTCAACAGAATAAGTTAAAATGACAAGTAGAATTAGGTAGGTTTTTTAATAACTGGATAAGATAAGAGAAGTCGAGAAAGCATTGAATTTAATAATAAACTGTAAAAGCATGGTGAGTGTCTTGGTCCTACATCTTCTATTAACACAGCTGTCTTCTACCACATCTGGTAAGCAGCTGACCACGAGTCCAGCTCGGGCTTTCCCCTCGCTTACTCGACCAACCCCAAGTATCTCGTGCGGTCGCTTGTCGCACAGACTTTCTGCTTGCCACACTGTACGCGTGGAGACCATGCAAACCATCACATCACAGCTACCATTATAAAATGTTTCTGACCTGTAACTTCAACATATATTTGATGAATAACTTTCAACCATAGGACAGTGCATGCTCAACTACCACATGCATAAATTAAAGGTTGTCAAACAGAACTACAAACACCTGAGCACATTCTGCAGACCTGCTTACTGTACCTACAACTTCAAAAAGAAACCTGGCCTCAAGAGCAAAGTGTGCAGAGCAAGCTATAGGGAACCATGAAGGACCTACCTGCTGCTGACATGCAAGTTTATAGAGGCAACACACCTAATGGTCTGATCTGAGCATACAAAACCGAATGCAAAGAAGAAGAAGAACCATAGAAAGATTAAGTGTATACATTATAGCAGTGTGACCCTTCTGGTTCCATGTAAACAGCATGTGTTAATTGGCTTTCCCTCTTCAATCCCAGCAACATGTTTGTATGTTTTTATACTTTTTAAATTTGATCAGAGCCTGCAACAACAACAAAAAATAACTTTTTAAACAAAATCTGACTTTCTCCTTGATAATTTTCACTAAATGATTAGCTGACGCCAATGTAATGCATCAGGAAATCTTTGTGGAAAGTTTTTCTAATCTGTAGGAAAAATGTAGGAAATTGGTTTTGTATGAATAGTGTTTACATCAGCAAATTGGCTAAATGTAAATAGATTTTAATCTGCAAATTGGCTACATATAAATATTTTATGTCTGCATACTGGCTACATATTAAATGTTTTACACCTCCAGGGTGATACATATAAATGTTTTATGTACCAGTGGTGAGGCATGTATGTAACAGCTGTAATGGCTGCATTCACTTTCTATTGCAAAAGAAAATATGCTGTTCAGTTTAGGTCTCGCTGAGCATGTAACCAGCATAAACATAGTGAAAAGAAAGTTCACTGCATGCTTTTTTACTAATTAAAAAAACTTGACATATAAAAGCTACCAGTTACAAGCGCATTCTCTCAACAGTGAAGCATTGAGGAGAAAATAGTCACATGATATCCTCTCCAGCGTAATTGTTACCTGCCAGGGCTTAAACTTGTGAAATGATCCCTCCTCGCCACTGTTATATACACAACTCGGCTGCATATAATATGTTTTCTGTCTGCAAATAGGCTACATCTAAACATTTTCTGTGTACAAAAACTTCCTTTAGAACCTTTTTGAAACATGCTTACAGAAATCCACATTTAATTCAAGGTATAACAAGGATCATGTACTTAACTGTGTTATTCACATTGTTTTTGTTTTTTTTAAACTCTGCTTCATTTTACAATATGACTAGCACAGTTTTGTTAACTAACATTAAGTTGTGGTTTGGTTATTGGTTTCTATTTTTTCATTGTAATTGTGTTTTTGTCTCACCTGTTAGCATTTCCAGTTGTATAGCTTAAAACTCATAGTTGAAACAATAAAATCTTGATGAAGTTTAAAAGATATGCCAGGATTTCTGTGAATTATTCAGCTGTGGGTTATTATTTAATTTTATTAAAATTCTGCTGTGGCTAATGTAAAAAATGATGGCAGTGATGAAATAAAAAATAAAAGAAGAGCAGAAATGGCCAAATATATTTTCAAAAGACATGAGAAAATA